ACAAGCTGTACACCCACTACTTTACATTGTAGCAAAGTGTAATTTCTTCAGTGTAAATTTGCTGTCCCCTCAAAATAACTCAACACACTCTAAACCGCTGGCCACAAACGTGAATACACCCCTAAGTGAAAATGTCCAAATTGGGCCCAAAGTGTCAATATTTTTTGTGGCCACCATTTTCCAGCACTGCCATAACCATCTTGGGCATGGAGTTCACCAGAGCTTCACAGGTTGCCACTGGAGTCCTCTTCCACTCCTCCAGGACGACATCACGGAGCTGGTGGATATTGGAGACCTTGAGATGCTCAATAGGGTTTAGGTCTGGAGACATGCTTGGCCAATCCATCACCTTTACCCTCAGCTTCTTTAGCAAGGCAGTGGTCGTCTTGGAGGTGTGTTTGGAGCTGTTATCATGTTGGAATACTGTCCTGCGGCCCTGTCTCCGAAGGGAGGGGATCATGCTCTGCTTCGGTCAGATCCTCAGAGAGTTCTTTGCCATGAGGTACCATGTTGAACTTTCAATGACTAGTATGAGAGAGTGAGAGCAATAACATCAAATTTAACACACCTGCTCCCCATTCATACCTAAGACCTTGTAACACTAATGAGTCACATGACACCGGGGAGAGAAAATGGCTAATTAGGCCCAATTTGGACATTTTCACTTAGGAGTGTACTCACTTTTGTGGCCAGCGGTTTAGACATTAATGGCTGTGTGTTGAGTTATTTTGAGGGGACAGCAAATTTACATTGTTATACAAGCTGTACACTCACTACTTTATATTGTAGCAAAGTGTCATTTCTTCAGAGTTGTCACATGAAAAGAGATCATAAAATATTTACAAAAATGTGAGGGGTGTACTCACTTCTGTGAGATACTGTATATTATATACACTTTAGCAAGAATCCATTAAATTGATCTAACGTGACAGTAAATACTTTAACATTGTTATAAAACTAAAATCTATTTCAGATCAATGCGGTTCTTTTGAACTTTCTAGTTATCAAAGAATCCAGAAAAACTAATGTATCATGGTTTCAACAAAAATATTAAGCAGAAAAACTGCTTCTTGAGAAGTAAATCAGCATGTAAGAATGACTTCTGAAGGATCATGTGACACTGAAGACTTGAGTAATGGCTGTTGAAAATTCAGCTTTGCCATCACATGAGTAAATTGCATTTTAAAATATATTAAATTAAATAAGTTATTTTAAATTGTAATAATATTTGACCATATTACTGTTTTTACTGTATTTCTGATCAAATAAATGCAGGCTTAGTGAGCATAACATTTTCTTTTAAGAATAACCTCAGACTGGGCCGAAGGTTTACCTTCCAACAAGACAATGACCCTAAGCACACAGCTAAAATAATGAAGGAGTGGCTTCACAACAACTCTGTGACTGTTCTTGAATAGTCCAGCCAGAGCCCTGACTTAAACCCAATTGAGCATCTCTGGAGAGACCTAAAAATGGCTGTTCACCAACGTTTACCATCCAACCTGACCGAACTGGAGAGGATCTGCAAGGAGGGATGGCAGAGGATCCCCAAATCCAGGTGTGACAAACTTGTTGCATCTTTCCCAAAAAGACTCATGGCTGTATTAGATCAAAAGGGTGCTTCTACTAAATACTGAGCAAAGGGTCTGAATACTTAGGACCATGTGATATTTCAGTTTTTCTTTAATAAATCTGCAAAAATGTCAACAATTCTGTGTTTTTCTGTCAATATGGGGTGCTGTGTGTACATTAATGAGGAAAAAAAAATAACTTAAATGATTTTAGCAAATGGCTGCAACACAACAAAGAGTGAAAAATTTAAGGGGGTCTGAATACTTTCCGTACCCACTGTATATACACATTTTTAAGAATATATAAAAAAAGAAATGCATCAACCCCAAACGTTTGACCAGTAATAAATAAATAAATAAATAAATAAATAAATATATATACACACACACAGTTTCATGACAAGTAAGAAACATTTAAGGCACATACATTTTTCTCAATTCACCTGCCATTGGCAGTTGTGGCAAAAAGTTAATTTTGGACCATGACAACAAAAATATTCTCAAGCGCAGCAGTTTCAGTTTCCACTTCTTCACTAAGAAATTTTGCATTTCTTTGTCAAGAATCTTTATAAACAGATTTTAAGCATTTATCTCGCCCCTTTGTGGAGAATTACACTATTCTTATTACCTTAAATGGTTAATTGCAATGATGTGAACACGTAATATATCACTTTAAAACGCTAACCTGTCTGCAGATCTCTCTGGAACCAGCTTTTTCCACTTGGCCACAAGGTTCTTCGCTGCCTCCCCAGCAAATTCATGTTTGCGCAGAGAATTCACTGTCTTTCCAATGCCCGTTTCCTGCAAGAATCCAAGAAAACAAACATATTAAAAGCCATAGAACCAATTGCATTTTTAAAAACTTTTAGACCAAAATCAAGAGTAATACTTTAGAATGTAAGTAATATTAATCTTACCACCAGGATGTCTACTGTTATAGGAAGCTCCCCCAGCCTTTTGAGAGTTTTCAGCAGCTAGACAGAAAATGAAAGTAGTGATGAAAAATTGACAGAAAGTAGTATTTATGGTTGATAAAATTTCCGTTAAACACTCACCATTGGCAGTTGTGGCACCATGACAACAACAATATTGGAAAGAACATTGTCAAAATCTTTGTGATCAAATTAAGGGTTTATCTGCAAACTTTTTGGAAAACTACACTACTCTTATTACCTAAGATCATTTACAATGTATTTAACACATATTATCCTAAAATACCAAATGCATCTTTTATAAAACTACAAAAAAACAGATATGTACTGTGATGCATAAATTATACCCAAATACATATAAAATACAGACAAACCATATAGATGTATTACATTTAGAAAAAAAATTTTTTTTTTAAACTGTCAGTAGCATACACCATGATGTTTACATATTTCAAGGAGTAACTGCCATTTGGACATCAAAACAAACAAAAAATTTCATGACCATTGTGCAATGTCCAAATAACAAAATAGTACAGTGGTAATTTTATTGTACACGAAGACAACATTGTAAATAAGACTAGTGCCAGCACTGCCAGGTAACAAAGTTATCAGTTGATTAAGCAATGTCAAAGATTCACTTTAATGCCAGAATTACCAAAACAAACATTTAAGTGCGGGGGCTTCCTATCTAGACAACATTCTGAGGCATGGAATGAAGCTTTCCACCTTAGTGTAATAACTATTCAGTATTGAGGAGGAATCGTGTCTTACATTGAGTAACCAAACCTCTGCTGCATTACTCAGGGCCTGTCTTCAATTGTCACTGCTATCGTATTAAATCGTTGAGGTTGACATTTCTGATAACCGAGCACAAGCTTCTGGGAAAGTGCCTCGATACTGTTTCTGCTGTAGTAGCTCGGTATATCGAGGCATATTTGAGGAGAAATCTCAATCCAGACTGATCTATCTAAACCGATCATCCATTTCACGGTCTGCTGCTCTTGTAATTGTTATACGTGGGATTTCTGGATAGCAGCGCTGATCGAACCTCAGACTAGACACTCGCCGAAGTGCGTAAAACACAGGCATACACGGTGCGAAAGGAGAGACGTAAAGCATTCGCTTCGTCTCACCGAAAATGTTCCTTACCTTGCGAGGCTCTTGGTTCTCTGCGAGCCTTAACTGCAACTTCTCGACTGCTTCCAATATCTCCTCCGCCATGTTTACAGCTGGTTCATGTTGTTGCCCGGAAGCCACAACCGCAGTGGTGGTGGGGGCCTGCTGTTGTTTCAGACTGCTGCGAACTTCCGTCACTCCGAACGTAGATTCCGGAAAAACGTCATACTGCTGTTATAAAGTCATCCTAATCACTTGATGAAGCCGTGATGTGTTTATATATGGTCAAGCTTTGTATAATTTAGCATTGTGCTTATTTCAGATACACCTAAGAAGGCCAAATGTAAAATGTCCAGCATCATCACAGACTAGCGACTGAAGCTGGTTATAATAATATAAATATGCGCTGTTAAATGTTATACATATATATATATATATATATATAAGAATCTGCAATTAAAGAACGCATACTTATCTAATTATAGGCGATTTCAACAGACTGCCCCAGGCCAGCATGAAATGCAGTTGGTGGGCCACTGCTGCGCATCCTCACAAAAGCTTATCATTTGCACCTGTTTTTAATTAAAACATTAATGAGATTTTAAAGCATTCAAACACAAGTAGATGCGAAAGAACTCAACTGAGTACTCGCGCGCTGTGTTCGGTGCGCGCAACGAGTCGCGTCTCACAGCCCTTGAACACCGAATTGATTTTTGCCTCTTCTTGCGCTTGAACGGACAAATTCTTACAAAATTATGTCGAAATACATCCGTCTTGGCAAATATCTTCAAAAAACTGGTGGTTATAAGACAAGTGAACATAAACAGTTGAGAAAGAAATTGTATGTGTATATCATTAAAATGTATGCATTGTCTCTTAAAGTGACAGCGCCTAATTTACTAGCTATAGTCGGTGTCCTTAATGTTAACCCCAGTCAATGATTAATCCAAGAAAATAAATTACTAAATTATTTTGTAGTTTTAACAAGATTTATTCTATATTTAATTTACACAGTGACGACTATGATATTTTACATTTGATTATTCTGTTTTTGTAGCCTACTTGAAAACCTACAAAACTTTTTTTTTTAATTAAACTGTTTAATTTGTATCTATATGCTATTTATTTATTTGTGCTATTTGCATTATTTCAAACAGGGCCCAAATGTACAAACCACACCGGGGCCCCGCAAACCCCAGCTACGGCCCTGGCTGTAAGAATAACACAGTTTCTGTGTCCTATCAGGTTGGTGTTAAGAGGACAAGCTGGATATGGACAGTGTTTTTTTGGGGGGGGGGGGGAGTGGATGACTGTATATGGAGAATGTTATGTAGGTGGGGTTGAGGACTGGTATGATTGTGTTGCAGAGCTGTGGTTGGTTCATCTTTTCCACTAACTCCTGCTGCCAACAGAGCTCTGACAGACAGACAGACAGACAAACAGTGAGACAAACAGTGAGAGACCGATTACCAAGGAGAGAAAGAAAACTGTGTGGATTCAAGAACTAAAAGAAATCGAGTAAAAGAACAAAGAAGGACAAAGAAGAAGAGCTGGAAGAGAGCTATAAAGTAGAGGTAAACATTCTGACTGTGCTTCTTCTTTCTTTTGATTAATGCATAAGGACATAATAATACATATACATTAAATTAGACATTGACGTGAATTTTTAAAAAGCAACAGAACATTGCTTACACTTCCAATGCATGAATTAGATTCACCATCTCCTAATTTAAAATATTAAAAAAATAATAAAAAAAAGCTTTCTGGACTTACTAAGCTTGAATCATGTGACATGCTTACTTCATATAGCCATGTTTCAATTTATGTGAGTTTATTGACCCCTGACATTTCACAATCCAAATGTAGACTTTCTTATCAAAGGCATCCCAATGTGGTGTGGCCTAAATTTAAACAGACCCATCAGAGTCAAAAACAGAGAATAACATGAAGATTGTTTCTCACTCTATAAATAGCATGCAGAGCGAGTAACTTGTTGGAGGTTGGCACGCAAATACTTAGTCGGACTTTCCACAATACTACATTTTAGACTGAAGACAGACAGCCAAGCCTTCAGCTTTTAGGACTGACTTGTAACAGCTGCTTCTTTCCCATCTCCTCTTACCCTCTCATCCTCTCTTATTATCTTTCTCTTTATAGAAATGTCCTTGTCCCCCTGCTTACCCCTCACCTTTTCATATTGGGTGTTGTGAAATCTTCCTTACAGCATCAGATAAAAGAACATGAACCTATCATTATTCAATTAACCTGAAAGGATCTCCAGATGGCTTTCATTGAGCTATCTGGGTCAGATGGTTGTACGACCATCACTGAAACTTTTATCAAACTACTGCAAACCTGAAGATTATTTCTGTCATTGATTTTTTTTTCCCCTCAAGCATTTTCCTCTCTGTGCTCTAAATAGCTGCAAATGTGCTGTGGTTTTGTGTGTGCGTGTCATAGACCATGCAGGGTCAGCAGCTGCCGTGGTGTAATATAAGAGGTGACAGTGGTGTTAGTGCTTTATGACTGCTATGTTGCAACACTCCTGAAATCATTTAAACGTCTGCAGAAAACTATGGATCCGATCCAAATGATAGTGTCATGAAATCATGGAAGGCAACATATAATTTAGATATCTAATGTATCATCAAGAAAGAAATGTAGCTCATATTAAGACTTAATGCACCGAATTTTTGGAATGGAATGATGCCAGTGTGAGGGTAATTTAAGCAGCACAGCCCCTGCTATTCTTCCTATGTGGCTTTAGAATATTTTTAGAAGAGATGCAAGGACATCTGTTTAACACAGTTCAATCATGCTTGTTTGTTTGTTTGTTTATGAGGAGTCTGCATTGATCTGGTTTTGCAAGCTTAACAAACCAATCCCCTCTCTGAAACAATAAAAATTTTAAATGGGACGATTACAAACAACCTGGGCAAAAATAATAATTCATGCTGTGATCTGTAATAAGCTATGTGGCTAAATATTTGTGTCTGGTAGTTGTGCATGTATATTTAACAATAACAACTGCCAAATGGTAGGGGGTTACTGATATAAGAATAAACACATTCTCTACTAAATGCTGAATCATGTAATAAGAGTCAGATGTCAATACAAATGTACATTACAGCCATGATTAAATTTAGTAACAAAACTGCATATAGTGTCCTGTAAGGTTTTTATGTGTTTATATCAACAGAGAGACTATGGAATTTACTTTAAAAATTCCCTTTAATTTGGAATACAAAAACATGCATGTTACTTGGAAACTACTCAACTTGCTTATAATAAAGTATAACTGTGGCTATCCTTTTTGGAAACTCCACTACAAGACCACATGCACCTGTCAATCAGCCTTATATCCTACCATTGTAAAAGAGTGAGATGAGATCAAGTGTAAACCCATCCATGTTGACCATGATATTATAAAGCATATGATATTTATTGAACTCATACCTACTGAGTTTAATCTGTTTTTTTTTCCCCAGGTGGTGCACGCTAACGTGGATCAATCACACTCCTCCACTGTTAGTTTGCAAGTGTAGTGCATCTGTCTGTCCATATAGTATCTTGGTTAATCTGTGCTCTTGTGATACAGTAAAAGTGTCACAGCTTCAAAATCAGTCTGTCAGTAAAAACCTTTAAAGAAACACAAAAATACACAAACAAATAAATAAATAAAGCTTAAGTGAATCTGTTCAGGTGTCATTGGGTCATTGTGACTATCGGCACAGAATCTGTCGGTTTGAAAATCTGTTGAACTGACTTTTAAAAAGCTATCATATAACCAGCCTACACATCATAATGGCTCCCAAGAAGAAGTCACCACGCCCTAAGAAGCCCATTCCTGAACCAACAACAGTTGAGAGTGGAGTGGTTGTACCAGAGCCTGGTGTTAAGAAGCTGGAGCTTCCTTTTAATGTTGAGCAGCTGAACCGGCTCAATGGGGTGCCCTTGCCACCCCCTGTGATAAGACCTGGGGAGAGAGGTTTTGGCTTGGGCAGTGAGCTCACCCGCCCCCTGCATGGATCCGCTCTGCTGGAGGAGCTGAGCCGCATGAGACAGGAACGATTCCTCACTGACATGGAAATAGCCTGCAAAACCAAGGCATTCGATGTTCACAAGCTAGTCATTTCCTCAGTCAGCCAGTATCTTCGTGAAGTCCTGGCCAAGGATCCTGGACTCAAACGGCTGGAACTTCCTACCCTCTCACCTCTCGGTAAGCCTTAAAAGATATTACCTTGCTCTGAGGTTTTCACTTGTGCGGCTGGAGACCTACTGTCCTGCAGAGTTTAGCTCCAACTCTCATCAAACACGCCTGAAGCAACCATTCAGGACAATTCTGGTTCTTATCCTGAATCAGGCAGGTGGGTTGGAGCAGGTTAGAACTCAAATTTGTAGAATAGTATGTCTCCAGGAGCAGGGTTGAAGACCACTGACCTAGCTGCATTTCTTAAAGTTGCCCAATCTTTTGAGTGACCCAAGCAACTGGAATCATGCCTGAAGTTATGGTTAAGCCATAAAAATTAAAACACCATAACATACATGTATTATATTTTTCTTCAGGACTTGCCAATGTGATTACGTTTGCTTACCTGGGCCGTGTGCACATGTCCCTGTACACCATTGGCTGCACTGTGTCTGCAGCCAGCACCCTGCAAATCCCTCATCTTCTCCAGATGTGCATGGACTTCCTGATGGCTGAGCTGAATACGCACACTTGTGTGTACGTGTGGAATATTGGCGCTGCATATGGCCTGATGCCTGTCCGCGAGGCTGCCCGGTGCTACATTCTGGAGAATTTTGCCCAGTTTTCTGAGACAACCCAATTCAGCCAACTTACCCTGGAGCAGATCACATCTTTCCTCCAAGATGACAACCTAGCTCTTCCTTCGGAGGTCACCACCTTTCAGGTCAGTGTAAAGAAAGAAGGATGTAAGAGCAAGAGGAATAAAGGTTTCACAAAAGCTTAGGAAGTCCTATTTATACGGTGACCCAAAAACTAAATATGTTTGCAAACACAGCAGATACTGTAAAAATAAATACAACTAGAGTCGTGAGAAGGTTATAAATATGTACAGGATGAACACGATTTATAAAGTAGACTGAATTAGATACTAAACGTAGATCACTCACTTTAACTTTTCTTTGAACCTAGATTGCAATGAAGTGGTTAGACTTTGACCCAAAGAGGCAAGAACATGCCGCAGAACTGCTGTCTCATGTGCGCTTTGAGACCATCCCTGCCAGTGAGCTGGTTAGTGAGATCCAGCCAGTGGCACGTATGATGCTAGATCCTCGGTGTCATCGTCTTCTGGTGGATGCCATGAACTACCATTTGCTGCCCTACCAGCAAAACACATTGCAGTCACGGCACACAAAGGTCCGCGGAAGCCAGATTGCTCTTCTAACCATTGGGGGTCGTCCTTCACTAACTGAGCGTGCCCTAAGTCGAGAGGTATGTATTGAAAAAATTAATTTACAACCTTTGGACAAAGTCCATGACACGTAATACTCTTGATTCATTGCTGTCCAGTTCTACTCCTGGAGGAGCACCTTTCAGCAGAGTTTACCTCTGTCCTGCTCCAACACACCAGCCTCAAAGTTTCTAATCCTGAATACCTTGGCTAGGTGTTTCTGGTTTAATTAGGGTTGGAGTCAAACTTTGTGTGCACGAATGTGGTCCTCCAGGAGCAGGACTAAACTCCCTGATCTGTTCTTTTCTTTTGATTGCTGTTTATTCTTTCGTTTTACTGTGCAAAGGTGCTTTGGAGAGATCCGCGAGAGGGAACGGCTACATGGCGTCATCTTACTCAGCTGCCAGCAAAGAGTTTCAACCAGTGTGTGGCTGTGATGGATGGATTCCTGTATGTGGCAGGAGGAGAAGATCAAAATGATGCCAGAAACCAGGCTAAACATGCTGTTGGCACCCTTAGCAGGTATGTTATAACAAAGCATTTAGTCATCAGTAGACCCAATCAATCAGTCTAAAACTGGGGTGGTCAAATCTTGCTCCTGGAGTCCCACCTTCCTGTAGAGGTTAGTCCCAAACCTAATTAAACACAACTTAACTAGCTCGTCAAGGGCTTCAGGATTATTAGGTGGCTCCAGGCATGTTGTCACTCTGCAGGAATGTAGCCCTCCAAGAACAGGATTGGATACCCCAAGTCTAAAATTTTATACACAGATTTGACTGCATTACCTTCTGATCCTCAGATACGATCCTCGCTTCAACACTTGGCTGCATCTTACCAGCATGCGCCAACGACGTACCCATTTCAGTTTGGTGGCCACTGGTGGACGGCTGTATGCCATTGGTGGCCGCAACACTGATGGCCTCTTGGCCACCATTGAGAGCTACCAGCCCTCTACCAACACTTGGCAACTCCGTACGCCAATGGATATGCCACGATGCTGCCATGCTAGTGCCGTCCTACCGTCGGGAGACATCTTGGTGACTGGTGGGTATGTTAACTGTGCTTACTCTCGCTCTGTCATTTGTTATAGCATTGACAGTGACATTTGGAGCGAGCAGGGAGAGTTGGAAACACCTCGTGGCTGGCACTGCTCTGCAACAGTAGGTGACAAGGTGTACGTGGTAGGAGGTAGCCAACTTGGTCCCGGCGGAGTCCGGATTGATGTGATGACCATGGAGGTCTTCAACCCTGAGAGCAAGGAGTGGACCAGAGTTGCCACCCTGCCCCTGGGAGTGAGCACAGCTGGTATGTCTCCACTGGGAGATCACCTGTACCTGCTAGGCGGATGGAATGAAGCAGAGAAACGTTACAAGTCAGCAGTCCAACGCTATGACCCAGGCACTGACAGCTGGTCAACAGTGGAAGACCTGCCGGAACCCATTGTGGGGGTGTCCTGCTGTGCCCTTCCCTTGCCCCCACGTCACACATCCCGTAGACACCGGAACACACCTTCCCATGAAGATCAGAGCAGTGTGACACAGAATAACACTGCATGAGAAAGAAAAGCTTGTCATTTGTTATAGCATTGACAGTGACATTTGGAGCGAGCAGGGAGAGTTGGAAACACCTCGTGGCTGGCACTGCTCTGCAACAGTAGGTGACAAGGTGTACGTGGTAGGAGGTAGCCAACTTGGTCCCGGCGGAGTCCGGATTGATGTGATGACCATGGAGGTCTTCAACCCTGAGAGCAAGGAGTGGACCAGAGTTGCCACCCTGCCCCTGGGAGTGAGCACAGCTGGTATGTCTCCACTGGGAGATCACCTGTACCTGCTAGGCGGATGGAATGAAGCAGAGAAACGTTACAAGTCAGCAGTCCAACGCTATGACCCAGGCACTGACAGCTGGTCAACAGTGGAAGACCTGCCGGAACCCATTGTGGGGGTGTCCTGCTGTGCCCTTCCCTTGCCCCCACGTCACACATCCCGTAGACACCGGAACACACCTTCCCATGAAGATCAGAGCAGTGTGACACAGAATAACACTGCATGAGAAAGAAAAGCTGGGGGGGAAACTGTTGAAACGAGAGATTGTTGAGTGTAGAAAAAAAGAGAGCGAGAGAGAGAGAGAGACGTATAGGTGAAATGGAATGTAAAAATAACAACAACATGAAGGGAAAAGCACAGAAGTCTTTGTTTTAAAGTCTTGTTCTTAAACTCCAAAGATGCATTAGGTATACAGGGAGTTCAAAGACAAGGTACTACCTAGGGCCCACGTATAAAGAATGTGAAAAGTACTTTTCACAAGAGCCTCTGCAGTGCAAGGAATTTAGAGAGGTATTTTCTTATGAGTATGTAAATGAGTTTTAGAAATTGAGCAATACAGTTTTACTGAAAATACAATTTTGTGATTATCACCAAGCTAATTTAGTAGTACTGAATTAATGTTTATTTCTCGCATTATTTGTTGTTGTTTTTTAATCAAGTTTCATTTTCTCTCTTAACCAAACCCAATAACTGCAAAAGTTGTTCAGGGGTACTTAAATTTTATATGAAAAGAGGTACAATGCAAAAGTCAATACCCCCATCAGACACACAACTAGGCACCAAACTATTGATATTGCCCACCAAAGAATGTGCATAATACCACACATATTATCCAACATTTTTAAAGACTGGTTATGAATTTTTTACATTTTAAATCATGCTTACTATAGTTCCCGTTTAACCCCTTTATGTATTTAAGTTATATTAAAGGGTCTTTACTTGCCTGTGTTGAGGTCAAAACACCTATAAATGGTATGATAAAACAAAACCTTCTAAAAGAACCAGTAAAAATACCCAACAAAATGTCAACAATTGAATACATAACCAAATGGAAATAAATGCATAACATGGAAAATGTAGATTAGAGCCTGGAGTGCTGTCTGGTAATAGAGCTCTGGAATTTCATTGAATAAAACTTGTTAAAAATAAATAAATAAAATGTCTCTTTTTTCCCTTGCAATATTCACTGCAACAATCACGAACCAGCCCTCAACTGTCAGAAACTAGTGTCTTGGTAATGAAATGCAGGCACTTCTAAAAGCATTTAACCACCACATAAGTCTCTAGATTTAAAAAGGTCACACCCAAGCCTATTAAGAAGTGATAAACTCTTCCTAAAATTTGTACCACCAAAATAACTACAGCTAAAATTTAAGTTTTAAAATGGCTTACTAAAAATTCAACAAACAAGTCATATTTCATATACTTGATTGATATCTTCACATCCAACACTAATTACAAACTATGTGAAGTGAGCAACACCAGCGCTCCAGTGTTGTACTTCAACAAATAAAGACAAATGGACAGCATCACATTTGGGCTTTTCTTTTAATTGTTTGTTACAAATTGGGGGGGAAAATGTGGTCCTTTACTTGCCAGGGAGGATGACGCCATCATACTGGAAGACAAACAAAGCAAGTGTAAGTAAATTCAGGAATATAGAAAACAAGTACAATATCCACTCAAATACAGTCTATGTTTACAGAAACATTTTAACTGCCTTGAAAAACACTTTAAAACAAGGTTCACCAATATTACAGTTGCCATTGTTGAACAACAGTATAATGTATCATTTAAAACGGTACTCTAAAGACATGAAAATAGCATGTCTCAATATTAAAGCTACCAGTGCAAAAAGAGCAAATCATCCTGGAAAATTAAGGAGGTCTGTCTAACAAAATCAGTTTTAAAATTTAAAGAGAAGACTGGTACACTGTGTGAGGCGGCAAACAAGGCCAGCAGCTGTGCTAGCTACATTTTCATACATTTGCTTGAACATAGACTGTTTGGAAACTGAATCAACATAGGTATCAGCTATTTAAACACCTTCTGTTGGAACCAGCGCATTGCCTCCTCTTTGCAGATACGGTGCTTGGCGCCGATGCGGCCCTGCTTCCTCTTCTTGTCAGCAATGCTGAAACCAGGTCTGCCAAGAACCTACAGTAAACACAGATTAAAACTGGTTATTCATAATTGCCCAAATAACCATGAAATTACAGGTTAAGGTTAAAAGATGTGATTGCTTTCATCTTTACTGCACGACAACCGATACACATTAGTAAAATATCTGTTATAATATGGATAGTTCCAGACTTTATTAGCTGAGCTGCTTTTGAAGCCATTGTACAATACTCCATATATACGTTCACCTGTGACCTTATTACATCAGTATTGCTATACAACTGCATCTGTGTTGCTCGAGAACCATTTTGCTACACACTGGTGAAGATCTATATGGACCCTTTTCGCAGATTGTGATAAATAATGTATGTTTTTTGGACATTAAAGCATGTCAACATTCTGTTACACCAAATAATGATCTTTAAAATAGCATCATATGACCCCTTTAAAATAACTTACTAAAAAGCTCAACAAAAAAGTAATTTCATATACTTCATTAATAACGGTCACATGCCACACTAATACAAACCATGTGAAGTGAGCAACAACAGTGTTATACTTCACAAATAAAGACATCGACAGCATAATATTTGGGCTTTTCTTTTATTTGTTTGTTACAAATTGGGGGGGGGAAAGGTGGTCCTTTACTTGCCAGGGAGGATGATGCCATCATACTGAAAGAAAAAGAAAAAAAAAGCTTAAGCAAATTCTGGAATATAGAGAACAATTTTCGTACATTTGCTTAAATAGACTGTTTGGAAACTGAATCAACATAGGCATCAACTATTTAAACACCTTCTGTTGGAACCAGCGCATTGCCTCCTCTTTGCAGATACGGTGCTTGGCACCGATGCGGCCCTGCTTCCTCTTTTTGTCAGCAATGCTGAAACCAGGTCTACCAAGAACCTACAATAAACAGAGAATTACGACTGCTTATTCATAGTTGCCCAAATAACCATGAAATTAGAGGTTAAGGTTAAAAGATGTGATTGCTTTCATCTGTACTGCACCACAACCGACACACATTAGTAAAACAGCTGTTATAATATGGATGATTCTGGACTTATTGGCTGAGCTGCTTTTGAAGCCATTGTAAGATACTGTATATACAGTCAACTGTGAACTTAAATCTGTGTTGCTCGAGAACCATTCTGCCACACACCGGTGAAGAACTATATGGACCCTTTTCACAGATTGTGATGACATGTTTTAGCAGTCATCAACACTGCAAAATGTTTTTTTTTTATGTCAATTTATAACATTTATAACCCTTTTCTTTGCATTATATTAGATTTGCATCAAATTACAAAAAATTAGTTACCACATCTGTGAAGGTGTTTCTTATAAACTGTCTATGGGAGTAAATTTAAATTTGACAGTTTTCTCCTCTGACTGTCTCGGTTTTCCCCTCTTTTTGACAGTCTTGAAAACACTCATGTTTTCAGTGGAAAAGACTATGTCGAGTTTCTTTTGCTATTTGAGCAAACGGCGACGCAAAATATTTGATGTAGCCTTTAAATTAACCACTAATAAATGACTAAATTTGTGTTACCGTTTTTAGTACTCTGTTCCACGTTAGCGGTTCTAAAATCACTGCACATCAGTTTCTTAAGGCTTACTGCTTTAATTCAGTTTCAGACAGCCTAAAGCTTATCAGGAAGGGAAAAGTCCTTACCACCTACAGTACAGTTGGTATTAAAAATAGATACTCATATGAGCAAGTGTAGTGGCAGAACAATATCACTTAAAATAAAACTCCTTAACCAACAGGAAATAAACCACAACGATGTAAATAGATACATAAATGTGACCTTTTTGGATCAATAAAATGCAACTCACCACATAAAAGTCCAAGCCGTAGATTCCAATGCTTGGGTCGTACTTGATGCCCAAATCAATGTGTTCCTGGATACCAAAGCCGAAGTTTCCTGTGTCTGAGAAGTTGTTCTTTCTCAACTCGTACTCGCGCACCTGCAAAAAAAAAAAAAAAAAAACGAAAAAAAAAAAAAAAAAAAAAAAAACTGCTTATAAACAATACAACAACCATGAACAAAACTTGACATTTAAAGAACCCACTATGGACTATGAGTGAGATATAGCTCTGGCTAATTTTAGCACACCAAATGCTAAGCAGTCCATTTCCATAAACACATTCCTCTCACCTTCAGTCCCTTCTCCAGGATTTCCTCAGCCTTGGCTCCACGGACAGTACAGTGGACTGCAATCTTTTCATTTCTACGGATACCAAAGGATCGCACAGTGTAGCGGGCTGGTGGGAGACATTTTCACTTAATGCACGGCACAACTTCACAAACACCAATGAATTTAAATCCACATTCATGAGATGTAGCAGAGTGCAATCATTTCCAACCACTAGCAAGAAATAAAAAGATCCACCTACCCTTGGAGAAGACAGGAGTCTGGCCTGTCAGCTGTTCCAGCACCTTAGCAGCACGGGTCAGTCTGTCACCACTCTCACCCACACAGATGTTCAGGCACAGCTTGCGGATGCGCAGCTCCCTCATGGGGTTCTCCTTCTTCTCACCCTGGTCCTGTATAACGACATACAGCCCAATAATTAGCTGTCAGGAAAGGGGATTCTTCTCAAACCTCACCA